CTTCGCTCTTGTTTTATATTTTCGGATTCATTGAGAGCCTGTATCCCGCATCGCTCACTTTTCTTTTACGACTTGATCTCAATTCTTCACGTGGGAGCGAAACATGATACATGCTCGTGGCTATCATCTGAACTACAGGCTTTGGTGGCTTTATTGTTAGCTCAACCCCCTATCAGTTTCGAATGCGATCCAAAATCGGGTTGCTTTGTAGCTTTGTCTCCGCAACTACACACGCCGTTGTCTTCATTCGAACAGTTCAGAGCTATTGACAGGTTCGCATTGTGTATGTACTCATCACAGGATCTTCAGAATGAGCATCGTTTGATGTTGTACGTCACTACGAATGCGATGACACCCCAGGCCGAAAATACAGGAAGAACAGCTTTCATGGGCAGTGACTGGATTGTATGTTCTATGAATTAAGCTTCGAGTTACACACCCATATGTGGCCTACACAGAGACATTGTGATGGAGGGTTGTGGGGCATTAATGTAGTGTGCGTCTTGTCCATTAAGGGATGTCTTTCTACAAGGTGCATGAAATTATAACGCATGTACGATGCTACATGACGTTTAAAGTAGTTCTTCATAATCCGTGCAGTATATACGATGGATGTCAGTAGCTATTCTTTGCAAAATGACATATTCATGACCCGTATACATTGGTCGTCAAGTGTACCAAGCGATGGGTATGTGTTCAGATATTCTGAAGGCGTATCTCGTTAATATAGTTATACAACAGATCGAATTGCTCTATTTATCGTGTGAGCGATGTTGCTGATCGAAGCTCGTTGTATGAACGAAATGTACTAATCTTTAATCAATAGCTCTCTGTGTGTATGTTGGAAAGGTGGTCAAGTATCGTGCTGACTGTGGCACATTTGCGAGCTGCGTGGGTCCAAGTCTGTCGCCAATGAATAAAATGTTCCTTGACAAGTAGAAAGTGATATAATGACTTGCGTCACAGTTAGCTTATATATGCAAAGCTTCGTGAAACTGCGAGTGTATTACTGAGAGGTCTAGGATAATGAATCTTGTGCAGACAAAGCGTTGAATATTTGTTTTTGGCCTGCAGTTCATATCACAGGTGTGATTACCTTTAAGTCCAAGCCACAATCCTTGTAATCATCTCGACGTATGCTTTGTGACGAGTACTATAACTCCACACTATATTTTCACTTCTGCTTTTGGACAATGCATCTGCTACAATTATACCGAGCCTTGCGATGGCTTGCAAATGCTTGCACTCAGTCAAGTATCAAAATAAACTTGCGTACTGGTATAATCCAACTGGGACTGTACTATTAAAAAAGGGTAAAGTCCGACGCACACATTCGTGCCATCGTGCTTTGTTTTCTACCTCAAATTCAGTGTAGCAAATCGTTACCCTCATTATTCTCATTGCTGCTCGCAACAACATCGCGGAATCTGTAGCCTTCTCGATTTGTTAATTTCTCTTGGTACTACTATGGTTGAACTCGCCCGTGCTTTTAACATCTTCATGCTTTAATCCGAATGTCAGATGCGTCTGAATACACAGATATGTGTATGCTTTACCTACTGCAAGCACTTTCTACCAAGTATTGGTATTTCATAGCCACCCGACTTCTAGACGTTCATGTATTGATTATGCTGCAAATTGTACTCGAATCTGAATCTCAGAAGTCAACAACATACCGCATCGGGATCAAATCAATGGGCGATAGACTTCTGTGCTCTCTCATCGGCTGCCCGAGTGTGGTGATACAGTTCGTTATTTCCGATAGTGGCGGCGCCATTGTCCATTGACGACAAGAAATATACACAGCCAATAGAGCACGTTTGTACACTCGCTTGTGCACTTGCATACAACCAGATCCCATGTGTTTGATGTATGGGCATGGGTTGAGACATGTGATAACTGTTCTTCTCTTATATATCCCTAGTGATATTAAATAGTAAATGTGTTCTTGTTCGGGTTTGTTTTGTTTCGTGGCTCATCGTAAAACCGCCGATAGCTGTCGCATTTTTCACGCTTTTCTTCGTAACGTAAAAGGTATTCGTTTTTATATACACACACATATA